CGGCGCAGCGCGTCGCGCGTGGCCCGCGCGCGTTCACGGTCCAACGCCACGAATATCACGCGCCGTACCTCGACCCCCTCCCAGGCCCGGAAGACAACATTGACTGGAACATCTCGTGGGCGGAACTTGCTCACCAAACCTTCGCGGCGGCCGCCGTTGCGCGGTTCTACGACGCGATGTTCTTCGGCGCAGGCGAGTTCTCGTTTGGTGGGTTTTTTGTGCGGGAGACCCGCAATTGGAACTGGGGTCAGCTGGATTTGCGGGAAGTCTTCGCTGGTCGTGCGACTGCCATCGAAGAGGCCCGCGCGGCTTTCGAGCGTGACCCCGCAGAGGCTGTACGCTATTTAGCAGAATTGGTGCGTGTACTTGCTATTTTCTCCAGTCACTTTTGCTGACCGCCTTTCCTCCTCTAGATTAAGCTGGAGCACCTCTTGCATTTCGTCGCCCACAACGGGGTCCGAGTGTTCATGCACCCCGGGATTCGCCGCGCGCAGCTCGCGGCGTACCGATTATTATTCCTGGACGCCCCGGAGCATGTGCTGGAAGAGCATCTGGATAGATTGCGGGGGCAGGATAACATTCGTTCGTCCCCGCAAGCCCGCACCAGCAATTTTTTTTATACGGTGTACCTCCTCGACGAAACCTGGGTAGACCCCCGTGTTGGTTGGGAAGCCGGTCCTTCGTTCCAGAACCCGAGGGATCGCTGGCTTCGGTTCGACTCCATGCTCGAGTTTCTCGACCGTACGTTGCCCAGTTCTCTCCTTCGCGAGATTTTGACCATGTTCTTCCAGGTTTTGCTGGGGCGGGTTTTGCCTTGCCAGACGGCGGCCTGGAGGGTGAGGATTTGGTCTTCGACGAGCCGGCGGCGATTTTGGAGGGCGCCGCATTGGAGGAGTACTTGGCGTCACTGCCCTTGCGCCCTCTGAATGTTTACGGCGCCGCCCCCCTTCCGCTAATGCCGCCTCTTTCTCGCGCGCTTACTCCCCTGCCGGCCCCGTCTCCTACCCCCAATCCCTCGCCGCCCCTTCAAGAGCCTATCGAGGTGTCCGCGTCGGAGAGTTCCTCCGACGAGAGCTTTATCCGAATGCCCTGTGCGTCCCCCCCCCGGAGCCCTACGCACCCTATCCCTTCCCGCCGCCGTCGCCAAGTGGAGGTGGTGATTCCCCGTCGTCGCGGGCACGAGCCCCTCCCCGTCCCGGATACGCGCAAACGTGCGCGGATGGAAGATGTCCGCCCCCGGCGCGTCTTCCGCCGCAGGACTGAACCGTCTCCTCGCCGTCGCTCGCCGTCGCCCGTACCCCCGCCGCCGCGTCGTCGCACGGCTACCGGCCCTCGTGCCGACCGCGAGCGTCCGCGATGCGCAGGACCGCGTTCCGCCACGCGTCCATCGACACCCCCGCCCGTGCCCCCGCCTCGCGCGTCAGCTCTCCCTCGTCGCGCGCCTGCTGCAGCCCCTCCTCGCTCGCGTCGCCGCCGTGTAGATCCCCCGCTTGCCGCTGCTCGCCCGTTGGCGCGTCTACCCGGAGTGGGGACCCGGAGATTTCCAGGGGAGGCATACCGCCCGGTCGGAGAAGTGGTGCGTGGCCTGGTCCCGGAGTGCGCCGCGTGCTGTCGTGACGGGCGCATCTGTTCGATTTGCGCCGGACCCAACGACAGGAACGCGCCGTGGTCGAGGGAGGGGCGGTTCGCGTGCGACACCTGTAGCGCGAACCATGCTTCCTGCGCCGAGTGGGCTCGCTTCCGGGACGGGTACTTGGCTCACCGATTGGAAGAGTTCTCGTTCCAGTTCTGGGAGCACCTGGGTGGAGGGGAATTCGTGCCGTTGGAGGTGGACCACCGTCTGCGGAGCCTGAACGAAGTTGGTGCGTAATCCTGTGCCTCGGGATTCGGTGTTTTGCTGACCACGGGATGTAGCGCAAGAGCGGAGCTTCCCCTCCTTTTGTTACGGCCTCCAGCCTCTGTTGAACGCGCAGCGATCGCGGGTGCGCCAACGCCGAATCGTATCACCCCCTCCCCCTTTTTCCTCCAGCCCTCATCCCTCAATTATTGAGGTTTCGGACGATTCAGAGGAGGACTTACCGTGCGCCACGTCCAAATCCTGTGGTAAGGGGAAGGCCGTCGCTAAGGCGGAGGAGGACGAGATGGAGGTGGATGAGTTGCAGTCCGATGTGGAGGAGGGCGAATGGCGCGCTCCTCAGGTCCGAATCACGCCGCGCGCCACCTCACCGGTGATCACTCTTGAAGACTTCGACCTGGATGCTGAGCCCGTCTCTCCCCCTCCCCTTGCTCAAAATGTCGCCGGCCCCTCTTCCGCTCGCGCTAACGCGGGTCCTTCGGGCGCCACCAACCCCTCTCCATCTCGAGCCGGCGGGCTGTTCAGCACCGGCCCTTCCATCGTGGTGCCCCCCCCCGCATTCCTCGGAATGTCGTCCGAGTCGTTGGCGGACCCGAGGGAGTACGGTCCCCATACGTTGGAGTGGGACGCTCAGGCGCTCCTCCAGTTCTACGAGAGCAACCCCGTGGAGCATCGCCTGGACGCACACGAGTACATGGAGTCCGTGCTGCAGGAAGTGGGAAGCGAGTTGCGCCGGCGTCGTGCGGGGCAGGCCCAAGGGAGCGGTGGAGCAAAGGGGAAGGGAAAAGAAAAAGAAAAGGCGCTGTAGTAGTCGGGCGCCATTGCTGTTAGCTGTTTTTTGTATTTTTCTTTCGTTTTATTTCTGGAATTGGACTCCCCAGTGCTTCTTCCTCCGCGTGAGCACGTGAGCGCGCGTGTAGATAGCCTGTTCAATCGGCCTGTTGTTCTTAGATTCGTTTCGTCCCAAAGGAAGGAGCCATATTATATTGTGGGTGTGGAGAAGCGGCGCTAGCCGGCTCCAGGTCGCAGAGCCGATGGGATGGCGAAGACGAACCCAGGATCGCATCGGCTAACCCGCAAAAAGGCAGCGAAAGAATCATTGTGTCTTGATGAACTCGGCGTGAATGAGCGCGAGGATATCGAGGGATCACCAATATCTAAGGAAAGAATTTGATGACCACCGACCCATTGCTTTCACCACGTTGGGCGGTACCCCGGCGAGAAGTAGTTCCGTTGTTCCGGCAATGCGGAAACTGCGGCCGGTTGTCCGTGGGTATCCAGTGAGTGCCCAGACCTCATTACAATGCGGCAGCAATTTGGGCTTGGTAAGAATTGTGGTGCTGTTATTTGACGTGTAAGCAAATAGTGAGGTTGCGCAAAAGCCGCAGGCGGCTTTTGGCTGCGCAACGTCGTTCGATCCGGCTTTTTGGCCTTTGGCTCTGATGCACTGATTCCACCTTGGCGATGTACAGAGGAAATAGAGGGTATCTCCGCAGGCGGTATTGTGCAGCCGCATGCGGCTTTGCGCAACCTCTCTAATAGTGGTGCATCAGCACCGCATTTGTTGGCAATAAGATGCATGTCGACACGCGGGTCGATTGGCGCGGACTGCGATATAAGGGTGATATCCTCCCTGTGTATCTTGGTTTTTGAGCGGGGAAAGCGTAGAGTTGTAGACCGGTGTTTATTGGAGGAGCGCGAAAGATGCCGGCGAGTTGGGAGATATTAGAGAGCTTGCGCAAAGGCCGCACGAGCCGCATGCATTGCGCAGAGGTGCAGGGGTTATTTGAACTATTACCTTAACAAATGCCATTTTGGAGTTGAGAACCGGTCTGCAATGTCCGGAATCTGTATTCTGTGGACGTATGCTGTTTACTTTGGGCAGTTGATCAAAGCCTATATATGCTTCAAGGAAAGACATATCACGCAAGTTTCCAGACCAAATATCGTGAATCTGTGTGACGATACATCGATGCGCTGCCTGATATCTAATCTCACGAGTCGATATATGTCTAAATTCGAACAGACCGATATCGATTCTCGAACATGGCACATCAAAAATTTAATAGACATCTTCACGTCGTTGATGGTGATGCCCATGGGTATTTTCTCATCGTTCGGAGCAGTGAGCGGCATGAAGCGGGCATGGCGGCGTCGTGGGCGGGAATAGCGAGATACCGGATCACCGCGCCGGTTGCTTAGCCGTGCTTGGTTCAAGCGGCTTGAAGCGGCACGTCCACTGAGGGTATCCAACCCTTTGGAATCCCACTATATGGCAGAAAATCTGTGTGAAAGTAGCTACAGTGTGCGCGGCACTCTGCGGCGTCAATTCACCCTGTGGCTGTGTTGCCGCAGCACTGACGAGGCGCTGCCGCGCAAGTGACGAGAACATGCCGCGGCACGAAATCGAGGCAAATCCTCCAAGGACAAGTTCAAAGACTGATTTTGAACCACAATTTATCATGGCTTTGGTATTCTCAAGGGAAGAGCCCAAAAAACTACTCTCAATGTTGCTTGCACACTGAGTTGAACCCTAATTTTCACTCAAAGAATGAGATTCAAGGTTGACAACTCTCTAATGCCACGGGAGACACTCAATTTGACTGTAGAACCCAAGTTTCAGATATTCTTTAGTCAGTTAATCGGGCTTAGTCGGGTTTAGGTATTGCCGCGTCGCGGCAGCCGCGTCAATTTCTCCTGGCCCAGACTTATCGCATATGCCGAATAACAGGTACCTCTTAATCTTTTCACCTGATCGCGTGCTCACACAGCGCAGGCCTTGCCCTCGCTGCGATGCCGTACCAGCTGGCGGACAGCACGACGTACCAGCTCTTTGAGCTCAAGCACGGAAAGGCAGAGAAAGCCTGGTATATGGATCACATGCCCAACACCTCCTGGAGCGAGGTCCGTCCCTTTTTCTCATTCATTCATTCATTGCACATTCAGTATTTCTCCTCACAGTGCCCACAGGAGGAGTTCAAGCGGCTTGTGGAAACGCACGTAACCGAGCAGGTGCCCTTGCCCACGCGTAAAGATGTCGACGACCGCTACGCTGAGATGCAGGAGCTCATCGCCAACGGTCACAAGCAGGCTATGAAAAAAAGGAACAAAAAAGGAACGTGTTAAAAAATGTGAATCAAAAGGATGGCCTGGGCATGGGTCGAACATGCGCCTGTGCATGAAATCTTGCTGCAATGTGATTCATTTACACCGCTCTTCCAACTAAACTACCAGGCCATGGCCATGGCGGTCATGCAGCACTCTTACAGCTCCTCTCGAAATTAATGAGACGGCCCGACTTTTTTTTTCGCGTTCCCAAAAAGGAATGTTTGCTCGCCCATGTCTAATCCATTCAATTATTACATGTGATTGAGCGCCTTGCCTCCCTCTAGGTTGTCAGTCCCTCAAAACAAAATAGAGAAGCTTGAGTACTGTGCGTGCCAATGGTCGAAGTAATACACGCGATCAATGAAACACGTGATCATCCGGGCGCGTTTTGGGGGTAGCATAGTGTGGTGGTGGCCAAAAGCAAGGATTGTTTGGGTCTGTGGCTGATGAGTGCACGCCTTAAATGGGTCGCGGGAAATCTCGCGGAGGGAAACGTGGGCCGCCTGTATTAGCCGCAATATCCGCGGCTTTGACCGGCGGGAGGCGGGAGTATGTTCTTGTTTGGCGATGGTGGACCTTGGCGCGCCTTGCCGGAATCACTGCATTCGGATCGTTCGGGAATTCGTCCGAGCGCTCGGCCGATGTGCGCCACGGAAACCATGCGGAGGGAAACGATGCGCCGTCTGTATCAGTCATAATATCCACTGCTTTGACCGGCGGGAGGCGGGAGAATGTCCTTGTCTTTGGAGGTAGAAAGCTAGCTTGATGTCGGTCAGCTCACCGTGATTGTGCTGAAATTTTGAGATACATCGACGCCATCAAACCCCGAGAGTCGAGTCTAGTGTATCGCAACTGCCTCGAAGGCATGTAGGGGACGAGGGCGGAGGTGGTCGACGGCAGCGGTGGGGGCGAGGCGGGGTAATCAGCTGCAGGGTATTCAAGACGTTTAGATAGAATTAAATCGGAATTGACTTTATTTCAATGGCATTCAGTGCCGTACAAAAAAAAAGGAACAAAATCTGGGTATGTCCGGATTGTTGAATAGAAATTGAACTACTTCATTCACGTCATTGTGCTTCAAGGGACTCCTCACTGAGGCTCAGAGGCTGCAGAAATCGGAGCTTCTTTAGCAGCTCGCCCTTTTTAAAGAAACGGGGGACTTACCTTGCTTGGCGCATTTGTGGCATAGCAGCTCACACTTGCAAGCTACACATGTGCCTGCCGCACATGCGCCTGCCACGCCGTCGAGGAGCGAGGTCGTCGCACGATCGGAGAGGCCCACAATTTCACGGATTACGTGCCTGATCCAAAAAAGTCGCCGACACCGGCTGCGTGAAAACTATCGTTAGCCACTCCTTGGTAGTATCATTTGGTGCAGTCTCGCAAACGTATACTTCGTGATGGTCTCGACATTCGTCGCATCGGTTACCATTCTTTCGGGATTTACTCGCAGATAAGGCCATTGAAGGAGCGGATGCGATTCGGAGTCTCGCAGATTGGTCGGAAGACGTCATAGGCGGAGTTCAGGGTCGTGGGAAGGCGGCCGGGAAGAAAATTTGGGACGGGGAGGCAGAAAAACTCGTTTTTTAGGCAATATCGGGGAAAATGTTTATAAACGGCCTGCTTATAAACAAAAATTAAGAAACCGTTTATAATCCTCTAGGAATTATAAACAAGACCCTACCCGGGGCCGGGGCCCAAAGCGGCGGTGGCGACGATCCCGAGCGAGACGCCTCCGACCCGGTCCGTAGAAATCTGCGGCCGCTTCTCGTCGGAGATTGTGTGGCTGCTAGAGAGGGCGTGGTAGGATGGAAGCTTGAGAGTTTTCGCTGCGGCTTCACGCGAGTCCAGCCATCGACTTCCCGGCCATCGACTCCCGGAAAATCGCGATGCCGAGATGGCCATCGAAGGTCCGGAAAATCCCGGTGCCAACGCTCTGGATCGCCTCGTGGGCGAATCTAATAAAAGAACAAAGGGCAGAAAAAAACCGTTGCACCTTACCACCACCATCATCAGCAGCAAATGCCCCCTTCCAGACGCAAGAAAGCTAAGAAAATGAAGTTCACCAGTGAGGTGTGTGACCATCAGCCTGTTGCATAGCGGCTCGCGCGTTAACGCCTTCCTTAGGGGCTGACTGCCGCCATCGCCAGCATTAACCAGCTCGCTAAAAGGGCGAGGACGACCGCCCTCACCGTCCGCGAGCAGCAAAAAATTCGATTTAACTTAGCGACCATCGTCAATAACTCGGACTACCCCGACGAAGGTATCGCCACGCTCGACGCTATCCTTCAAGAGCTCGAGAGCAGCAAGGTCATCTCCACCAACGAGATCAAGACCCTTACAACCGCGGCGCCGTTCGTTCCCGACGATACCATGTCCCCGGAGGAGCACGAAGCGTGGATGGACGAGGTCGCCGCGAGCCGCGCCGTGAGCAGCGGTCCGCGCCGCGTGCCTTCGCCCTTCACCGGCACTCCCGCCGAGGCCGAACTCCGCGAGCAGATCGTCCAGATCGGGACGCGTGCCGGGGCCACGAATAAGTGGCTCCGCATGTTGGACGCGTTCGCCGAGACGACGAGCACTGGGTTCTCTGTACGCCCCTTATCTCCCTTTTTATTATTATCATTTCGTTTCTTTTCCTTATTCTTCGTGCAGGTCAGTCCCCGCCCGATCTTGTTCGACGACGCGAATAAGAGGAAGGGAGTCTTTGGCTCCCCCTCTTTCGCCTCCTTCGGCGCCATGTCATCGTTTCTGAAGAACCGCCCCCGCCGATGCGAGTTCTCCCTCGCGCTGGCCATCGTCTGGACCGAGAACCCGACCGGCAAGAACTTTGACAACTGGTGTGCGAACGACCTGCACGCCATCCCCCTCGTCATCGTCCACCCCCCCGCCGGCGCGCCCGTCCGCAGCGCCGGCCCCAGAAAGGTTATGGTCGTCGCTGACCCCAACGTCGCTTCTGCGACGACCGCCGAGCCCTTTAGCGCGCGGCTCAACACCCTCATCAGCACCGGCAACGCGCCCGCCACCAAGTTCATAAACCTCCCCCGCAGCGAGCGCAATGGCACTGGCATCTGCCTTACGCTCGCCCTCGAGTGGATGTTGGAGCTCGTGGCGGCCGGCCTCGAGGTTACGAGGGATGAGAAGGGGGATGTCGCTGACATCGCAGGCTTTCGTGCGCTGTAGCTCTTATTTCCTTTTCTTTTTCATAGAGTTAGTTTGTGAAGACTTTGGGTGGTCAGAATAATACCTTTCATGTAATGAGCTCGATTCTTGCCAGAAGTCCTTGAGGGTTGATTAGAGTCGAAGGTGGGACCCGTGACTCCATCCCTGACATAGAAGACGACGAGCCAATTTGTGCCAGCGGATTGTGGGCGGGAGCTTCGGTCAGAATAATATGTGCATGTAGCAATCTCAATTGTTACCAGAATTTCTTGAGGGTGGATTAGAATTGAAGAAGGATCATTCCTTGATGGCAGACCACGTAAGTCGCCGATATTCTCGACCGTTGCATCGGCCAAGATCATTTCCGATGTTCCAAGGGAACACCTGTAGTTTCCCAAAAAGGAAGATATCATCAATATCAACCCAAAAGGGAAGGTAGTGGTTCGTCAGGTGGGCAAAAGGAAACTTGTTGACTACAGCGATTTCTATTATGTAAACTCAAAATTGAGGGAGTTATTATTTTTGGGCCAGCTAAATTGGGACTATGGACCAAACCAAGGTCGTCATCACTCAAATGACCTTGCAAGTGCCTTCAGAGCTGCTAATTGTACCCTGCGAACGGGAGAGAGCTTCTTGCAGAACTTCAATCAAAAGTAGCTCATATGAGTACATGCATGGAGCGGTGCTGATTCGGGTGGCTAAAGGGTACAAAGTTGAAAATATTTCGGCCTCCGGCGGGTTTGGGACTAGTGCAATTTTGGTGGTGACTAAGCGAAGCGCACCATGGCTACAGTTCGTCGGCCGTAAAATTTAGGACATTCGGAAGACTCGAGAGTGACAGTAGAGGCTCCCGGTTAGAGTCCATTCGACAAAAGATTTCAGCCACCCTCAATGCTCACGCGAAAGCGTGGTTAATTCCAAGGGCCAAGTTACACAGGATATAATAAAAGACAGCCCCGCGCGAGGTTATTCGAGGCGCGCAATCATTCTGGTGGACTCCGACAAGTCGCGGTGCACAGCCATGTGGTACCTAAGTATCACAGCGCCGCCTGTCCCAGTTCGTTTCCCCCTCGGATCTCGTGTTTCGGTTTCACTTGGTTCGTCTTATGTATCGCTCTCGAAAGATCAAGCATCCAGTGGGTTCCGATTCCGCTCTTTAACTTGCCTGAAATCGTTCTGGGCGCAGCGGCGCATAGCACCAATTCCCTGCCCGAAGATTTTAGTCCCAGATCTATGAAATATTGCTTCTGAATTTGGGACTGCGCTCCCTGGTCACACTTGCTAAACTAAAAGATAATAACTCAGAGTGCTGAAAGAATTCCACTCGTGCTTAGACTTACGGGGCTGTCCAGCGTGACTCTACTCCTCAGCATATCCTCAAACTGCGTTAGGTAGCCAGATACCATGGGAGAATTTGCACGGAGGTTAAACGAACAGCCAGATTCAAATGAAACTGGGGACTATCTACCCGCAGATCAACACGGAGTTTCCCCGTGACATTCCCCCAACGGCATCCCAGGGAATTTTGGACTCACCTGGCATCGGAGTCGTACTAATTGGGCCGGATTCAAATTGCAGCATGGCTTATGTTGGCCACAGGGCATTCGTGCAATCTGACCGATCGGTGAACGTCGACACCGTTGAGGTTCGAGTTCGAGTGGAAAATCTATGCAAATCGGATGCGTATCCATACAATCACCAAGCAGGTGTTCCGAGTTCCGTGTACAGTACCGATGTATTCGATTAGTCTTCCCTATACAAGACTGCCGATCATGTGAGCACTATTGTCCAGGAGTATTCGGATAAGTTAGATGCGACCCACTATCAAAACAAACCCAAAATCACAGAGGAAATTGAATGTAGTGTCGCCCTCCTTGGAACCGAGAAAATGAAAGAGTATTGAACTCACGTGTGTGATTCCAGTGGCCTAGTGTATTCAGTGGCAAGTCTCGATAAACTCCACACTTACG